CTCCTCTTTCGGATGTGGTAAGATTCCACTATCTCACATGTCAGTTGATTCATATGTAGAAATACTATTACTGTTTCTTTAAACACAGGGTAACATCCACAGTTTTTACAGTGATCTGCAAGACGAGTGTTCCCTGGTGCCTTAACAGATGCATGATGTTGTCTAAAGTGGTCGTTCACGCATCTTCCTGATTGCTCTATGTAGAGTTTTTCACAAGAAAAAGGAGTCATTCATGCTACTTCATTTGAAGGACTTCACGAACATGTTTCTGTGGCTTTTACGAAGCAAGCTTTTGAACCTATGGCATTACTAACGCGTCGACACAAGCTTGCTAGTTTGGTTACTGCCGAAAACTTAACGTCTGCGCAGTATATATCTCCAACATGCTTGAAGTTGTGTGCCAACTTGTGTGCGTATAAAATGACAGCCATTTTCTCTAGCTTCTTTGTCTCCGAACTGGATCTTTGTTTTTTGCTCTTTATTTTCTGACGAAGACCGTGAGTTAACTGTTTCGGGTGACATGCATTGTGGAATTTTTCCACCTGACTATTGGAGCTTCTGCAAAGATGACATAAAAGATTTCACTATCACACTCTTTACCAACTTTGAGTTCCCAGAGGCGTAATCTAGTGTCACGGGTCCTGTTAATTAGGGAGGCGATCGCCGGGCTAATTCCAAGGGCCGAAGTATCGGCCCCCCGAACCGCACCACGAAATCGTGGACAATTTAGAAGTGGTCCTTTTTGGCGCACCAGCGGACTCCGGCTGTGGCCCAAAGAACAAATCAGAGCCGAGAGTTGATAAACAAAACAGAATTATATTCTCAATAATCGCAGATGAAAAGCAATACACAAGTATGCACACTCCACAGTAGTTGAATACAATATGTCACACACCAAACAACGTACTACACAGTACAATCAGCCACACTCGAAACAACGGACACAGACAACAATACGCACTACAATGCAGTCAGCATGCAATGAACAACCAAGACACTTAAAGACTAAAGAGATAGAAAACATATTCAGTTCAAAGTTCTTGGAACAAAAGTCTAGATGATACTCTTCCGAGAATCACTCAGTCAAAGTCCAGCATTGTTGTCGTTCCGCGGCCCCCGAAGTTTCTCTTCCAGGAAACCTCTTTCGTTCCGCTGCCTCGATGTATCTCTTCCAGGAAACCTCTGTCGTTCCGCTGCCCCGAAGTTTCTCTTCTAGGAAACCTCCCGTCTTCACTTGGCCACTCTCCAAGCTTCAACCTTCTTCGCCGGAAACACGTCGGTTTCACACACGCAGCTGTTGCCACGTGACTTCGCTCGATAGCGGTAAACACACACTCTTGCCTGTAGCTCGAGTCGTCACCCCTCAGGTGGAAGTCATCTTCTTCTCCTGCTTTGTCTCCACGGACAAAACCTTCGCCGACTACACGGCGGAATCCCTACGCGCTCTGGCGCTAACTTCCGTCTTCTCCTGATCTCTCACCTCGGCTGCTCCATTAAATACCTTCCTTGCGAGATTCCAGAAGGTTCTCGTCATTTCGTCGGCGCGATACGCAGCGAAGGCTGGGGAGAAAGGTCAAGACGATACGAGGGCCGTCCGCGACGGATGACTTAACCCGACATCGCCACGCCCTTTCTATCGAGACATTTCGAGTGCTTGCTCGGCCGCCGATGTGGGGTGAGGAGGTTCGACGAACCTACGCTTCCGAGGGGAGAGAGTCGCGCGCCCGGGGAGTCTGGATGTTTGTTTTCTTTTTTTATCGTTGGCCTCGCGGCGTCTTTCCCGCGCGTTATCGCGAGAACTTGGCGGCGTGCCCTTTTTGAGCGCTCGTTTGTGACATCTAGCACTGGCTTAGCGCTTCTTGGTTGATAACACCAGCGAATGTGCTTCCTACCAAGCTCCAATTCTAAATACGAAAATTGCAATTTGTTGTTTTTAGGCTGCTGGGTTGTGAACTCAAAGCCCATGCTACTTTCTTTAAACACCTTTGTCACGTTCACTACCTCTCTAGAGGGATCAGTGCCATGAGGGAATACCAGGAAGTCATCCACATACTTGAATATATATTTAACAATACTAGAAATGTGCTGCTTAATACCCCGGTCAAAGTTACTCAAAAGTATTTAGCTAAAGGTAGGCGCTTCAGAGGAGACTATACATATTCTAGATCGCTGGAAGAAAGACTTATTTTCCCAAGAAATAAAAGTAGACTTTAAATAAAACTACAGCAGCTGCCGGAATGATGCTACGTTGTTACGGGATTTTTTTTTGAAAATTTAAATTTCGTCGTTTTGGATAGTAATGCAGTCCTTTACTGTCACCGTCATTTTGTCGTGAGGTATAGAGTAGAACAAATCTTAATTGTTAATGCAAAATGCATAGCTTTGACATAGATTACATTCTGAAAACTAAAATCTTTGCCAAATGCATTGAATTTTTGCGACGATAAGAATCCTCCACAGTAAGTCCTTCAGTGTTGCTCTGCAAATAACCGGACACAGTTTTTCACCAGGTATCCCTCTCAGAAACAGATGCCCTTAATGGTAAACCAGGATTATTTGTCTTCATTTAAAACAACACCTGAAGTTTTTTCTCCTCATTCACCTGAGATGCCAGATCATGCATATTAATATCATTTAAGAGAACCAGTGCTGTTTGTACGACAACTTTGCTTATTCCCGGTCTAGTGCAAAATACTTTTTCATCGCTGTTGCACCCTTTTCACAAAACGCCCTTCTATCCAGAATTATTAAAAAAACTGTTTTTGTCTGCCACAGCTAAGCGCCATTCATCCTGAACCAGAAATTCACAGACGAGTTTGAGTTTATTTTGAGCCTTAAGAACGTCTCTAGTTGAAACAACAACGTCCACATACTCAACAACGCACCTTGCTTTCTCGTCGTCGGCTGCTTGCCTGGATGCAGTCTGGGTGGTGGCGAGCTTTTCTGCACGGTTGAGCACTGGTTCGATGTAATGTTTTGGCCGAAAAGCCAGAAGCTGAGTGTAGGATTGGGTCACCTGAGTGTTGCTCAAGTTCAGAACCTGTCATTCTTTTTCCGGCGTCTTTATTTCTATTTTCGACAAATGAGTCATCACCACTCGACAGAGTTCCTCCGCTGTTGCACCACTGGTCTTGCACCACTTCCTATGGAATTGCTGCCAGTCTTGCCCTTTTTTTTCGGCTGCACACTATTCTGAGATGGTCTTTGAAGCAACAGACCTGCCCAGTAACTCAGACCTGACGATGTGGTAAACTCTGCTGGTATGTCCCACAGTAAGCTTCATCTATCCAAAGAGGCTCTGTATATCTGGCGGGCATGTTCCCTGTAAAATATACTATGAAGCAACCTTTGCTCGGACACCACGACAGCGATTACTGAAGCAAAAAAAGGCTAGGTCAGGCAAACCATTAGGTTGTAGAGTGCCCTGGGTGCTAAAATATATTGCAGCAAGATGGAAAGTTGGGCCAGTTGGATTACGTTCTTAATTGAAACTTTTGTTGAAGTGGACTAAAAACAGACGCACAGAACAAGCTGACAAGGAGAGCGCTTGCTCTCACAACTGAAGTTTTATTAGTTAGAAAAACATTTAAAGTGGTTACATAGTTTTCAACGCATGTGACACAGAACAGAGTGCAACAGAAACCACTCGCATCGGGATTAGAAAACTGCCTATGTAATTTGTCATTAATATATTTTCCGAGCACTATAGGGGTTGATGGTAGGCGTGTTTTTTATCATGCAGCACAATCGTAGCTTGGCTGCTACAGTCATGTTCTCTCTTTCGGATGTGGTAAGATTCAATATTAGATTACGCCGCTATTATATGGGATCCTTTTACTAAGACTAACATTAACAAATTAGAAAAAGTGCAAAAAAGAGCAGTTTGTTTTGTCTACAATAATTTTTTGAGGACTTCCGTTACTGACCTATTAAGCAGAGCTCAACTTTCACCTTTATCATTAAGATACCGTAACTTAAGGCTTAAGTTTCTGTACCAACTAATTAACGGCCAATATCAAGTAGACATAGCCGATATTTTTTCTTTTTCTTCTGGCTACTCTACCAGGCAGAGACATGACCTCACCATAACCCCCTTTCCCCCACACAATAATTGCTTTAAGTATTCATTTTTTCCTCGCACCATAGTCGAGTGGAACAAACTAACTAATGCAATTGTTTCAGCACCCTCATTGGCATTGTTTTCCTCGAAATTAGAAAGTGCACTAACCAGTTGAATTGTTGAATCGTATTACATACCACTGTACATGCTTGTATAATTGTAGTCTTCTATTTTTTATTGTATGATATTGCCAGTTGAAGTTTGTATTTGCCCTATAGACATTGTATAACCTGTATATATTATATGACATTGTACTTGCCATTTGTTCATGACTAACTTCATGTACCACCCTGCTAAAATCACCAAAGGTGATTGCAGTATCTGTAAATAAATAAAATAAATTCAACTATCTCACGAGTATGTTTTCATTATGGAGCCTATATACGCCTCTATACTATATTTTGTGGTACTCTGTCCTCAGGACTGCCTAAAAATAGCCTTCAGGCATTTTCAAGTTGTTTAAAACAGCTTGTCGCGTGAAGTTCCCCCAACAAGATGTGAAAAAATGTCGAAAACAATTGAATAATTTATTTCATTGATTATGCGATTCCCGGTGAGCAAGTTAGTTCGGTTGCACTAGAAAAATAACAGCGGCCACTTGTCTGTGTCTTCTTGCGCTTTTTTTGTTACAGTGCGGTGATTACAGTTGTCATCAATACCTCTTACAGCAAAGTAATTGCAACCTAAACTGTTTTTTTCTCCGATGACGTGTTGAAGTCTGGATATAAATGAAGAATAATGTAGCGCTACAAGATGTTCACTGCTGAGACCTTTTTGGTGCTGGCCATAATATTGCACATTTGAGGGTAATGTTATTCATGTCGATAAGGTTATCGAGTGTTATAGATTATACATATATTTGTATTTGACGCTGCTCCAGGTGGTGGACATGGTGTCCCGCAAGAAGCTCGGTCCCAACCAGACGGGGGAAATATGCTTCCGCATTCCCACTGTTATGCGAGGCTACTACAAACGTCCCAAGGAGACTACAGAGTTTTTTGAAGGTGATGGGTGGTGCAAATCTGGTGGGTAGGCCCTGACTGATATTCTATAGTTGCAGTAGACATTAGCAGAAATATTTGGTTCTAAATGATAATCTCCTATGGAAGCCATACACAAATACTAAGCCAGACACTCTCTTTAGATTGAATAAAGACTGATTGCGTATTTACGGCACGTTGAAACTTCACCTGTATGAAAATGCTGCTTGGGGAGTGCCGAATAAAAGATCGCAAGAATAATAGACAACATAAACTGGGATAAATATTTCTGTATATTGCTAGGTTAAACAAGGCAAGAATGAAATTACACCATCTCCCGCTGAAGTAAGCCATGTGTAGAGGCTAAGCAGCGGGCGCTAGCGCTTACTCTGACGGTGACGCTAGCGGCAATCGCAGCGTTGCGCAGGAGAGAAACCTGCAGAGGCACAAAGCACGCAGTGATGGACCGGTGTATCTACTGGAACATGTCAATTGCTGATAATGCACATTAAGAGAGAGAGAGAGAGAGAGAGAGAGAGAAAACACCGTTTGGACACATGGAATCGGTGTCCACTTTGAGTTCATTGCCGCTGCAAATTTTAGTGTTCCGACATCGCACAAGAAAAATTTCCCACTGGCACTACCTTGGAGGTCGAGATACAGTGGCTATATGTATGGGGTGGCCGGAGAACGGCTGTGCAAGGCGAGCAGTCGGTCTTTAGAGGCGAAGCTCCTTCTGCTGTGGGATATGTGTCCGCGATGTATGTAGTAGCAGTATTCATGGTCGTAGTAGTAGTAGTAGGTAGCTACCTCACATTTAGTCCTTGGAATGTCCGCTATATGGTGGTACTTCTTTATGACGAATACATTATCGGAAGGTGCAAAATTGTCGTACTTGGAGTGTTCACTAGATGTACGGACAGATGACGGACAGACAGACAGATGCATGGACGGATAAACGAATGCACAGGTGGACACATGGACGAACGGAAGCAAGAACGAAAGACCAAACGGAAGCGTGGACAGACTGACGGACGCTTCGTCCCACTCATAATAATTCTGTCTGCTGATATGTGGTATTTTTGTTTTTCAATCAAGGAACTTGCTAGCAGACGTGGCCTGTGTCGGCGTTGCGAGGCGAGAGAGAGAGGGGTGCGTAGAAGAGAAAAGGGAGGGGAGAGATCCGCATGTGCTATGGAGGTGTAAATGGCACGAGGAGGAACTCCTAGAGGAGAGAGAAGGGGGAGTGAGAGTTGGCTAGCAGATGCTCCCTGCGTTGACGTTGCAAGGCGAGAAAGGGGGAGTGGACATGCATGCGCAGTTAGGATTGTCACGCCGCACACAGGGTGGAGCTCGACCTCGAGCTGCTTTGCATGTAAACGATGCTGATAGTACAAAATCGTTGAGACAGGAAGCCGTAAAGCATGTATCAGCAGCAGCTCTTCCAGTTCACACAAGTGGTGCCCCAGCTAGCCTTTGCCAGCCTACAAAAATTAATAGGCCGAAGTATTCTATCACGACTTGACCAATTGCACGTTGACTACAATAACATAGAGCAAGTTACACTGTCTTTGTAGTCTGCTTAAACGCCTCAATGCAAGGTTAATTATTTACATTTCAAGCAACGTAGCGAGGCAGAAAATCCAACGAGAAAGTTGCAGTAATATTGCAAACCATCTGATTAGTTATTTTCAATGTTCATATCTCGGTGTTTTACTACTTGCTGCTAATTCTCACGAAATCCAAAATTAAAATGCCACGTGGCGTGCTACTCTCGCATCTAAGCACGCCGTTATTGCAGTTCGCTCTAACGTAGCGAGTTTCATCGTATTGTCCGAGCATTGTGCGGTGTAAAGACGACTGGATTACAACGATGGTGGCTTACAGCGTTGAAGCAGCTGCAGCAACACAAGCGATTCATGACGTAAAAGAATCAGCAAAAAAAGCAAAAAAAAACACACGAAACGCCGTACATAGAACTGGAAGGACACACATGACAGCGAGCACTTGTGTGTGTCGTGTGTTTTATGCGTGGCATCTTGTTTGTTTAGGCTGGTAATATTACCTCAAAAATATGTACCACCTTTGCCCAAATAGTGTTTTGTTCAAGAAAAGGCGATGACCTGTGCGTCTGCCTATCCCTGTCATGAACGGCCGCAAGTGAATAACATACATGTGGCGAACGTTAGCGAGCACTGCAGTCAAGGACACACTAGCGGACATGTCACGTGGTATATATATATTTCAGGGGCGAAGCTTCTTAGGCCTTAGGTCGTTCCCTCCTCTCTATGCAGTATGTAGCAACCTCTAGATTGACTTCCTCAATAGACGGCGTTATGTGTATAGGTACTTGGGTATATTATAGCAGATGGCGTCAGTGGCTCTCACAGCGTACCCACGAGTTGAGTGATGATGAGTGGGGTGAAGCGTCCGCCCGTCCGTCCGCATGTCCAACCGTCCGTGCGTGCCGAAGCACAGGTGGTTGGACAGAGGCATGGACGGACGGACGCACGAATGAAAGCATGGACAAACAGACAGATGGACAGACAGAATCACAGAAGGATGGACGGACAAACAGACGGACAGACGCACGAATGGCCGGATAGAAGCACGCGCGGACGAACGTAAGCATGGACCGACAGACAGACGGACGGACACACCCACGAATGATTGGACGTGGACGGAAGCGTGAATGGACGGCCCAAAGCATGAATAGACGGACAGGCGGCAGCACAGACAGATGGACGGATGGACACACGAATGGTCGGACTCACGCATGACCGGACGGACGCTTTGCCCACACATCATTCAGTCAGTGGATACGCTTTCATTTTTTTGCGTTTCACGGCCATGCTCAGTAAGCAATAAAATGCTGAAGCTTCACGGCATATTAAGAACTGTTTAACAATATCTTAAGCAATCTGATCTAGTTTTATGACTGCAAGTTTCTTTGGCTTTCTTTCTTCAAAAAGTTCATTAATTGATCTTACCTCATAACTAAATTCCCCCCAACACAATAAACAGTGTGTATTGCTCTGTGCAACATGCATTTGAAGATGGCGTCATTCAGAGTGTCAAAACATTTTGAAGCCAGAGATAGCAGGGCCATCTGTCAACAGTGAGATATAGGAGTTTTCTGAACACGTTAATAACGTTGCTTCTAGTGCATGCAATCCTATTATCTCTCTCTAGTTCAACTGGATATTTGACTCCTTCGCTGGAGCATACTATGCTCGCCTTCACTTGCTGCCAATTAAAGCAACAAAATGAAGTGTTCAGGAATATTGTTCTCGTTTTGACACTTTCCCTGGAAGCTTTCATTGCTTCTCAGTGCCCCTGATTTGAAGTTTTTACCGCGAAAGCTGTTATGAGATCAGAACACAGGTTACGTATGGTACAGTGGTAGTCCGCTGCTGCCGCCAGTGTCCGTAATCAATATCGCACAAATTATCACTCAGTAAATAAAAAAACACGAAGGGCACAATGGGATTAGAACCCGGATCCACTGTGTGCTAGCCCAGTATTCTACCACTGAGCTAGCCGAAACTGGAGACTCATTTGAAAAAGTGACCTTAGGCAGGCTTAATGTGGGGAAAAGAACCTCGCTAATATTAGTAATAAAGCGTTTTAGAGCATCAAATGAACCACCAGCTGTCACACAATGAGAATTGCTTAAAGAGCGGGTCGTCCAAGCTTCTAACCCAATAAAAAAGCGTGTTCTTACTCACCTAGTAAGTGTGGGGCGTACCCATTTCAGACATAATTTTTCATCTTCGTCAGCCCTTGCCTAAGAATAATGCATAATATTCCTAGCAAGTGTGTGGCGGATACGACGCTTCTCCGAAGAATAAGAAGGATAGTGTTGCGAATGCCAGCATCCTTCACAAAATTAGGAATATATATGGCGCAGTGGGTACTCAGCTAGTGTGCTCGTAGGGGTTACTCAAAGAGTGTTCAGCAAAGGCTCCACAAGGCCGCTCTTCGAGCTTTCACTGTGACAGTGCTGCACGTTTGGCGCAGGCCTGGTGTTTGTGATGTTTTGCGGTGAACTGCTGTTTGAAAGTTTCCCACCACAGCCTGCTGTTGATAAAGTGCTGCTTCTGCTCTCCATTTGCGCCCATTAATTTAAGTTCCATAACTGTTTTCTGTTCACGTGAAAGTATACTATATCACTCAGGTATGTTACTGAGGCACGTAGTACCGATTGTGGAAGTTTTGATGTCATCGATGTTGTGACGTGCTAAACTGAAATAACGTGCCTCTGTTATAGGTAATTTCTTCGCCAATGTTCACGTCATGACCCCTTAATCTTTGCCATATCCACGTAATAAACCACTTGAGTGGCTGTTATGCTTCGCCAATGCACAATTTGTGGCAAGATGAACATTCGATAATGTAGAAAATGCTTGAGCTAATACAGGGAGAAGTGAATTTTATCTGAATAATGCCATCACTTTCGGGTATTTTAACTGTAAGGATGCTTGGTGAAACATTACTGATGACGCTAGAGTTCGAAGCGCCGCAAATGATGACGTCCATTACATCAAATTTAGTTTTAGGTGCTCTAGTTTAAGCGTTGCATTATGTTCTTATTGTTACACACAGTACATTGACTAAACAGGGCAGTGTGTAAATGTTAGATTAAACGATCATCATTCTCTCTTGACGAAGCAAATGAAGAAAGCAGTGGTACAGAGTGTTATTGTAGTAGGTCACAACTGCGACAATTTCATTCTTGACATCGTTATGGGAATCTTCCGGTCCACAGGAGACATAAAATACACAGTCATGCATAATCTCAACCTTAGTACACTTCAGTGAGCAAGTATAAAGATTTAAGAGGAGCTTTTTGAATTGACTTGATATAGTGCATGCACAATGAAAACCAAGTAGAGTTAAGCCTTCCTCTCAGAATTTCTGATCCACCATTTTCACGTTACGCTTTTTTTGGCAATCATTACTCAGTGAAACGTCTAGTTAGGTAGCACTATTTAGCACTATTAGGTAGCACTAAACGTCTAGTTAGATAGCACGCCGCAGGGTCTAGTAACCGGCACTTATCAATCATGGCAGCTGCACTTGAAATGTATCATAAAATAATTAAACATAACTTTTTGAGCGCACTGGACTGACAAAAGTTTGCGGCTTCCCTATTCAACACCCTTGAATGCGCTTTGAGATAGTACAGAAAAATGTTTCTTACGGCGTAGTTCATATTGCTAACGTGCTTCTTTATTATCTCTTCTTACACATAGGTCAAGAAATCTGATTGAATTAGTGCTAGGGTATTCACAAGTATTATTCAGGCGCTTCACGCATGCACAACAGACTTTTACCACATCTCCGGTAAAAGCTTCTGAATAGGCTGGTTCACAAGGTAATAGAGAGTATGCAAATCTTCAGTACTACCAATTCATAATCCCGTAAGCTAGATCCGCCATGACGCGTTTTGTATTGTTTTGTTTTATTACTTATTTCGTTTAACGAAAAGAGGAGCAAGAGCTAAAGGCCAAGTGGCCAGACAGAGGCTCTTACTCTTTTGCTCATTCAGCATGCATACACATCGTTTTTAGCATGTACAATAATAAATCATCAGCATTTACATAACTGACTAAAAATAGACCTAGTACAGTTTCACATCATACAAGTACCTCCAGAGAACAAATATGGACATAAACACTTTTTGAAACAATACAATAAAACACTTTATGTAAAATAAAAAAATATCATGAAACAATTCATGAAAAGAAACATATGCGAAAGATTGATTAAAACATATAATCAAACAGTTCAAGATTATGTGCCTGAGTGCATTAAATAGTGAAGGTTGAAACTTCATGTAGTTTTTAAAAACCAGTCAAAAACACGCACAAACAGTGTATAAAATGTTATTGATTAGGTATCGTAGAATGTGAAAGAAAGCGTTTTAAACATTGCTTGAAACACAGTGCGTGTAAGTCTATGTCATTCCTCATAATGTTCAATAGTCGGGGTGTTGATATTGTAGGTCCTAAAGTCCGTAGATTGTAAGTGTTGTCATTATTGTTTGAGGGCGTAACTGATATCATGAAAATGAAACGGTATACTCCTAACATGCAGTCTCTGCCTTTTCGTGAGCAATGGCAATCTGTAATAGCAAATTTGAATTGCTTTCATCAAAGAATATTAATCAAAAAGATTGTGTGTGGGTAAGTCTCGCGGCCTACCATGGTAGTTCTGGAAACTTGTTTTTGCCTTTTTCGTAGTTTTATTACTTTGTCCTAATTTTTTGCAGTTGTTTCCTAGACTGATGTTTAACAAATAAGTTCTCAGTAAAAAATAGCGCAGCACATTGATTTTTAGTGGCTGTGGTTTAAGATTACTTGTTTGATATATAGAGCCTACGACTATGCAGGTCACTGCTAAGATTACTTATATGATTGCCACAAGAGAACTCTTCTTGACGCCATACAGCCAAAATATTTTGCGTTGCTGCTAGTTCTATCTACTTTCCTTTGGATAAAATAGGAATAATAGGATGCATTGGTTTATATGTCGGCCTAAATATTACATACTTAGTTTTTCTAATTATAATTGATGTTCGTTCAATTTCGGCCAGTCAGGCAATAAAACAAAATATTCGTTTATTTCTTCTTCAATCTGTTTTATGGATGTGCTAGAAAAGAAAAGTTTAGTGTCATCCGCATATGTGACCATATTCAGTGTAGGTGAAATGTTTGTGAGGTCATTAAAGTATATGTAAATAATATCGGGCCAAGTATAGATCCCTGCGGTACGCCAGTTTGAATTTTAGGATGTGGAGAGGTCACCCGATTAAGAGAAACATACTGAAAACGATCCGTTAAATAGCTTCGCATGAGTTCTAATTTTGTACCACGTATCCCATAAGTATGAAGTTTCGATAACAGTATTTCGTTATTCACTTTGTCAAATGCTTTACGCAAGCTCAGGAGTAAACCAACCGTTTATAAGAGATGTTCAATATTTTGTTGAATTTCGTGTTTTATTGGAGGAGTGTGTCCTCACATGAATTATTTTTCTGAAATCTATACTGTGGTACAATAATTATTCGATGCTTATCTACAAAATTCTTCAGGTCGTGAGTTTATAACAGCCTCAAAAAGTATTCAGAAGAGCGGTAGTATTGATTCTGGTCCAAAACTGCTCACGGAGTGGTCTGCACCCCCTTCGAAAATTGGGGAGACTCTGACTATTTTAAGTTTGCTTGGAAAAATTCTGTACTCGAACATTCTGTTGATAACATGAGCTAGGACTCTTGATATGATATTCAATACATGTTTTGCGGGAGAGGCTTGTATACCGCCAATACCAGCTGCTGCATTCAACTTAAGACTAACGATTATCTCTTCAATTTCACTCGCATTTATGGAAAATAACAAAAGAAATCGGGCACGGATTTTTTCAATACAAGAAGCCTTACATATTCTAGATTCTAAAAGGTAGTGCTGTCCCGTTATGGTGGTCTAGTGGCTAAGATACTTGGCTGCTGACCCGCAGGTCGCGGGATCGAATACTGGCTGCGATGGCTGCATTTTCAATAGAGGCGAAAATGCTGTAAAGCCGAGGGCTCAGATGTGGGTGCATGTTAAAAAAACCCAGGTGGTTGATTTCCGGTGGTTAATTTCACTACGGGGTCTCTCAAGATCACACGGTGGTTTTGGGACGTTAAACACCACATATTAAATAAATCAAAGGTAGTGCTATTACAGCTTTTAACAAAGTGAGCATTTACGGCAATGACTGCTTCGTCGTTCGCAAGAGTGACAATTACCGAAGATATTCCTACGTCTTCACAAGTAGGGCTTGTTCATGATAGCCTTTTTTTAATTTTTAGCCAAATGTTTTGAATTCATATATACACGCGAAAAAATTTTTTCATGTTACTTTTCCTCCGCTTTTCTTGGCTCTAAATGTAATTTGTTACGATAAGTTCCAAATTCAGCCAACTGATTAATTTCTCGCGTTTTTATGAAAGTGCGGTACATTTGATTTTTTTTCTTATAAATTTTGGGAGACGCATATTTTCTAGGACGTTTTAAAACGCTGTGGGAAGGTTTTGTTGTATGCAGCAATCAATTTGTCGAAAAAAGAAATCGTATGCCCTATTTGAAATATTTTCAAGAACTTCTGATTCCCATTTTATTCACTAGTACGTGAGCGAAAACGGGCTACTCTTAATGTATCTAGGAGGCGATAGGAACATGTGTTAGGCTTGAATTTCCTAGAGTAGGGAAGAAAGCAAAAATGGGGTGGTGATCACTTATTTGAACGGAGAAGACAGCGATACTCACAGAAGGAACATGAACATTAGTGATCCAAAGGTCTAATCGGGTAGCGCTAGAGGAGGTGACTCGTGTTGGCAGGGTTATAATATTTAAACATGCGTAAGAGTATATGAACGGCTTTTAATCTCCAGAAATTGCACTCTCGGCGTTTGTTTGCATGTTTGTATCGCCTTTTATTGCGAACATTTTGCCTGCTTCGCTAATATAAGATAGAAATTTATTAATATAGGAACGGCGCTCCCGTTTCGGCGAAACACACTCACTCGCCTGCGCCTTTTCCCGGGCCTCTCCTCAAGTTTCTTGGAGCTCGCCGCCAGGGCCAGGCGCGGCGTTGTCACCGCTCCACAAACTTGAGCTTCAGTTCCCTATAGTCGGCGCGTAGATGCTGTTACGGCAGTGCGGCTTCACAAAAATCACCACTTAGGGTGTGTTGAATAAATTGTTTTTAAGAATAAAAACATGCCAAATATGGGCGTAAAATTATTATTCAGTAAAAAAGCATTCCGTTGGATTGATAATTTTTTTGTTTGTTGCACATGCGTCCTCTGGTGCTTAGTGATAGCACTAGTTTGTTACGTAGTCGTGACGTATTTCTTGGGGCCAGATTTCGCGGAGTGTCCGCTCTTAACTTTTGTTGTTTCTCCACGAAAAAACTTTTTTTTTGCTTCCACGTAGAAAGAAAATTGTTCATGATAGAAAGAGAAGCAATAGGTCAGGCGCACACACAACAGGCTAGGGCTGTCCCAAATGTCTCGTTGTTTTGGCTGTCGGTTCTTTGTCGCTTGTACAGACACAGCGTATAGAATGAACACAAAACTCGTAGGCTTGCTCCATCCTCGAGTTATTTGCTTTATGTTTGTTTATGCGATATGTCTGATGCCTCACATCTTCCAATTTCCGCTGTAGTGAAAGGGCTCTTGATATTAAACAGAACGTTTTAAAGTGGAAAACTTTGGCTCTTTCTTTAATGGTCCTAGTGTGAGGCACCCATTATATCACGTGAACGCGAGAGATGAGCTTCCATTTATCCATTGCCGCATCCAGGTGACAAAAAAAAGTGGAATGTACAGGAAAACTTGAAACGTGTGGTAAAATACCTTGGCGCATGTGGTAAAATAGCAACAAAGAATTGATTTCTGTTTGAGTTGTGCTGTGCGCAAGCGTAAGAGACACTGTGGGTTGTTTTTGCAGATGGTTATTTGCGGACTAACCAATTCTCTGCTTGTTACCTCATCAGGAGATGCCGGATACTACGACGAAGATGGTCGCTTCTATTTTGTGCAACGGATTAAGGAGATGATAAAGTGCATGGACAATCAGGTTGTACCCGCGGAGCTTGAGGGACTGCTACTTCGGATGCACTCTGACGACATCATGGAAGTGACGGTTTTGGGACTCGAACACGCCGAATATGGAGAGGTGCCCGCAGCCGCCATCGTGGCGAAAAAACTGGGTGACAAACATGGGCTCTCCCTTCTCGCTGAAGGAATCAAGAAAACGATCGCAGGTAAAACTCATTTCGTAATGGGGGCTGGAAATAATTGGTTTTGCATGGAAACGCCTTGTAACACCAATATTGACGTTTATGCTTCAACAAATGCTCATGCTTTCTAGCATTTAAATATTTATTGTTATCTATTTCTGTGATAGTGAATAATGATGTATTCGCAGAAAATAGGTAGCGTGGACAAGACTTAGTGCTAATTGACGAAGCTTAAAGGGGTCATGTCATGGTAACCCAACAATTTGCGGTTTTCGGCAAAAAATGAAGGTAGGGAGTCGAATATGCTTGCACACGTGTGAAAACTGGACTGCGAAAGATTATTTCAGTCGAAAACGAATCGTAGAAGTCCTCGGCTGTAAACTGCGCCTACCGCCGGCTACTCCCATTTTGCCTTGGCCTGCTTGACGTCACAAACCGATGGGAGCAGTGTCGTCGTCTGCTACCAAACGGCACCTTCGGCACGCGGTCAGTTTGCTAACTGTGTTGCGAGTGTTGCTTGCCGCGTGGTCCGCAAGTGTTGCGAAGTAGTACCGGTACCGTCGCCATGTCGTCGCCACCGTCATCAGCTAAAGATTCGGGCGATGATTTATCGAGGAGCAGAAGCGGTGACGACGCCGTGTACACTGCGCAGTTTGATTTCGACCCCATCGTCACCAGCTCGAGCGACGAAGAAAGCGTTGAAGACGGGGCGAACGCAGATGCCAACGCTATTGCTAAAACAAATGCACTTACCTCTTTGTTTTGACACTTTTCAAAAGCACCCCGTCACTTAGCTTGGAGGACAGAACGGTGGGAAAACACGGTCACCACAGCGTGCAGCCGAAGCCTGCGCTTTTTAACTGCTATACCGAACTCGCCGAGAAGGCGCTGGTCATCATTTTGGCTGTCTGCCGTGAAGTGCGCTAAGCACAAAACAGACACGTCACTTGCGCACCAGTCCTTCCTGTGCACGTTTATCTCCCAAGCTTTGCGTTTGGCGCGCTTTTTAGGAAACTTAAAGAAAGACGCAGTACTCTCCCTGCTCTGTACGTTCTGGCACCGTACGGCGCAGAATGGTGACGCAGCGGCAGGCTTCAACCGCTGCAAGTCATTCGGTTCCAGTGGCCCGTTGAATAACGCTGAAAGATCTGGACTGCAAGCGCAGCTGATCATGAAACGCGATCGCCCTCCGTACTACACACCATGCAGAAGCTCGCGAAACAAGTGGTTCGTTACGTCATGGCTCGCAAGACTTCCAGTGTTGCCCGACCACTAGGCCACTCGCTCTTTTATAAAAAAAAATATTGAATTATAAATTAACAAGATGACCGAATTCGCTGAAGTTTTGCCACCTTGTTTGTGAAGGCACAAGTACAAACCTACACAAAACAGATTATGGCCGAAAATTGGGTTCATTAACCGTTTAAGTAGGTGCCAATGATCTCACCATCACTACCACTAATTCATAAGCTACTTGTCACCATCGTGATATACCTCGTGGCATACGGGTCTGAAAACCTCGCAGCACACCTATTTGCTAATACTCAAAGTGCTCCCGCTGGTGAAATTCATATCGTCAATACCATTCCTAATGATACTGCACTTAATACACAATCCTGCGTTTATCACATTAAACTTAGTGCGAAAATCGTTTACAGAGATCACAGCATACGTTTTATACGTGTTTCTGCCGAAAGAAGCTTGCTTGGATTGTTGTTTATGAATTCAGTCCATCCCAGTTCAAATTCTCATCATACGAATTATGGCAAATGAAAGCTGTAGAGCAATGTTCTCTTTTTAAAGCTTTCGTGTTCCATACTGCCAAATACAAGTGGATACTTGAGGATAATGTTCCGTAAAACAAAATTCATAACATGATACAGTCCAGGTAACCCAACCATTATATTAGTATAATTATGAGCATAGAACCAAAGTTGATGACAATATTTTATTTCAGGCACTTTTTGCTTGTGAAGGGCTCAATACTATTTTGATGACATTGAAGTAGCTGTACCATGCTAGAACAACAATGAATGTTTCGGCGTGCTAAATATTTTCATGAGTCCAATATTTTTTTATAATTTTGTTAGAAGCCTTTCTACATACGCATTTTCTTCCTCAGAAAACCTGGCAATGCACAAGCACCTTTACGGCGGTGTGTTCTTTTTCGAGTCGCTACCTAAAACGGAGACAGGTAAGGTGAGCCGTTCTGCGCTTGCCAAGCTCTGTGCTTCAACAACGCCACTGTGAAGACTGAGAGGGACGTTTCTAGCACACGAATGAGCTCACTGTGACACTTGGCATTATAGTGACAAACGATGTCTAGAAAGTCATCATAATGTATTGTTTGAACTCTGAATTTTAATCCGAGAAATAAATGCGATATGCGCATCATGCTCACTTTGGTAAATCTTACATTATGATGATTCCACGCCATGAAATGCTATCGCACGTCCCAGTAATCTCAAAGTCACCTCAGCTAGCGTACCGCATTCACAAACTTGAGTCCAAGGGCAGGGACACTGAACAAGGGAAAAGTAGCTGCAAGGGGAGGGACGAAGGGAGATTGAACAGCTACTTTTGCCATTTAAGAAAAATCTACATCCCGTACATGGGACATATCTGAAGGGAATTTCACGTCAGGTTTCGAGACATTTCTGGACAGTGACATCCAGAATGACTAGCGTCTTGACACAGTTTTTATTCCGTGGGGATGATTCATGAACGGAAGCACAGACTGACGGACGCTTCGCCCCACTCATCATAATTCACTCTGTGGGTATGCTGCGATATTTTTAAAAATCTCCGCACGCGCATGCGCGTGATATTCTGCATCAATACCACTTATTCTTATCACGTGCATGCGCGTGATATTCTGCCATCAATACCAACGTGATAATCTCCGAACGCGCATGCGCTGTTCGTTTCTCACTGAGAAGGGGGCTACTTCTGGGAGGGGACATTGAATCAAACCCTGGCCCTGATCCTACTCAGATTTCAAAGCAGCTGAAAGAAATCTCGTGTGACATTAAGGATATTAAAGAGAAGCGGCTGGTTGAAATTGAAAAGCAACTAGGCGCGCTTCATAACCTGGACGACAAGATAAACACTTACCAGGAAGAACTGCACAGCATTTGCAGTGTAGTTCAGTCACTCGAAAAAAAAGTAGACGAACTAGAAAACTACAGCCGTCGATTTAACCTAATCACTTATGGACAAACTGAAACAACAGGTGAAAATTCTGAAATTTTGGAAATGACCGTTAACAAACATATTTTTCAGAGCCTTCTTGAACTAGAAAGTGTGCCTATGGAACGAATACATAAATTAGGCAAGCCGGCAAGTAACAAAAAACACCCGGTTATCGTGAGGCTTTCGAACTCGAGAGACAAGTGCATTATTCTAAAAAAGGGATGTAAACTAAAGAACTCGGATATTTCAATCGGTGAAGATTTATCTTGGAACATTCTGGATGTCAGATGAAAACTGTGGGCAAGTGCGAAGCCATACCGTGAAATGCGTGGGAAGGTTAAGTTATCATTTGACAAGTTGTACATTGGCGGGGTGGCGTATATCTGGAATGAAGAAAAAAATGATGAAGTACCGGTTAGGCCGGAAGGCCACTTTGCCCAATGACAAGAAGTCACACGCAAATGTTGTCCTAGTTGGAGAAGCTAGAAGGTTCATAGCAGCGCGAGAGGTTCCCCTTTCACAGATAACTACAATAGTACTGCTAACACGTGTTCACGACAAACAAAACAGTTGCGTATCACCAGTCTAAACGCCCGCAGTGTTATCAAAAAGGCAGATCCATTAGAAATTCAGTTGCTCATGCACGACCCTCATGTCACTATCATTACGGAGACACGGTTGCATGGTCAGGTAACAGATTATCTTGTATTTCCACCGTGTTATAAAGTTTTCGTAGGGTCAGAGCACATAGGGCGGAGGTGTGGCTGTCCTTACTAAAGAACCAATTGATGCAACACTTATTGATGAATATCCTGACATCGAGTGCCTATGCATTAAGGTGTCATGCTGGGGGCATTCTTTTGTATTTGTCGCATGTTAGAGACCATCAGACGCTACACCCGATTACATGATAAAACTGAAAGAGTACATGTCTCCTTTTCCGCATAAAATTTTTTTCTAATAGGCGATTTTAACCTGCCTAGTATTAACTGCGAACGTCTTCAGGCAGATTTAAGGAAGGACAGAAATGCTAACATTATCTTCGACCTTATGCTAGAACACAATTTAATTCAGGCAGTTAATGAACCTACCCGTGTACAAGGTTTCTCTAGCAATATTCTTGACCTGCTATTTGTGAATCATGATTTTTCGGAATGCGTCGTTTCAGTTGATGAACATCTGTCCGATCACAAGCTTGTAAATGTTTCCTTGCCTATACTTACGCCTGTTGTCTCTAAACGTACAGAAAAACATTGCTTCAAAAACTTTGCTGAAGCCGATGATGCAAGCATAATAGATTACACGGAAACGTACCTTGGTGACTTCACCGATACTGACAACGACGTATTCACGCTCTGGTCAATGTTCGTCAAAATGTGTCGCCACTGCATAAATACATTTGTGCCTAACAAAACAAAGACGGTCAATAAACAAACGCCGTGGATGACGCGTAACATATTGCAACTTAAGCGCAAACTAAAAAAAGCAAAGAGAAGGGTGACCCACCCCAACTTGTTATAATAAGTGTCATAGAAAGCAAATTGTCATCAGCGGTTCGACGTTCAAAAAATTATTATTTCAACGTGCAGCTACCTGGTTTAATAAAAAGTGCAACCGAAAACAATTTGGGCTTATTTAGGCGAAGCTAAGAGACCTGTCTGTGAGATAGTGGTCGATGGAACCACTACAAAAGACGTGAATGAAATCGCCGAATATTTTAACACTTACTTCCACAGCGTTTTTTCCCAGACAGTTTTAGGTAACGTGTTTCATTCTACTGTGTTTGAGGCGCACGAAGTGAACTTTATTTCTTGCAATGGTATTGTGTCAATGCTTTTAAACTTGAAGACTACGAAATCATATGGCCCAGATGGTATCCTAAATATGTTTTTTAAGCGCTATGCGGAATGTATCAGTAGATTTCTTTTATACTGTTCAGAGCTTCTTTGTTGTCTACTCAGGTGCCCAAAGACTAGAGGAACGCTCGGGTAGTGCCAATTCTTAAAAAGGGCAATCGTTTATCTGTACAAAATTATCGACCAATATCTTCAACTTCATCCTGCTGTAAACTAATCGAGCATATCATTTCCAACCGCATGACAAAACTTTTAGACAGAAATTCAGAGTTAACGAACTGCCAGCATGGCTTTAGGAAGGGCTACTCGACTACGACACAACTGTTAACTGTAATTCATACTTTTGCAAGAACATTGGATAATAATGGTCAAATCGATGCTCCTTTTTATACTTTAGCAAGGCGTTCGATAGAGTAGTTCACTGTAAACTTATACAAAATCTTGTAGATTACAATCTTCCTAGCATTACAGTGCCCTGGATAGCAGCTTATTTTTCGGTTCACGTGCAGTCTGTCACTATTGAGGGCAACGACTCGAGCTGTCTTCCAGTGACATCCGGAGTACCCCAGGTTAGCATCCTGGGGCTATTGTTGTTTTTGGTCAATATAAACGACATTGTCAACGTTGTTACGCCTGGCACACAAGTCACATTGTCTGCAGACGATTGCTTTTCATAGCAGAAATAACTACAGTGCATAACCAAACCGACCTCGAGATTAGTTTGCACAACATACAGGCGTGGTGTGACAGATCAGGCATGTCTTTAAACAAAAAAAAAAAACACTGTCTGTCTTCGTATCACAAGGAAAATAAACCCATTAAAATACACCTACACACTGGCCGCCTCACCGCTAAAGGAAGTTGAAAACTTTAAATACCTGGGGCAAACATTTTCAAACAACCTTTCGTGGAATTTACATATTAGTAATATATGTTCCTCAGCTTTCCATGAACTTTGTTTTCTGAAACACAAGCTTAAACTTTAATTCACCGACCCACTATAAACTACTTAGTTACATTACTTTCATTAGACCGAAGTAAAGTATGCTTGCATTACACGGGATGCCTAAGCTAAACACAACATTAAAATAATAGGGAATGTCCAGAAAAAAGCTGTTCGCTTCATTTACTCTAAATTCAAGCACACCAATCCCCCCCCCCCCCCCCACAGCTGATGACAGAAAATGACTTCCCCCTCCTCGAAACACGTTGGCAGATTCTCCACCTCAATTTCCTACAATCACTGATTAAACGTGAATTATCCATCGACACCGCAATATATGTAACACCTCTGTCCACAAGGCGTACATGTCGCTATCACACACATGCTTTAACCTCTCATTCTGCTAGGACAGTGTCGGAGTGAAACTCTAGGCGTGAAATGATTGACCTTTTTTAAGTTACCACAATACCCGCGTTAGGTGTTGTGTTTTGATTTTGTATGTTTTTTGTATGTTGTGTTTTGATTTTGTTTGATTTTGTATGTCGGAGTGGAATTCTGGGCAAATAATGAATGACCCTTTTTAAGTTACCATAATACACGCGTTAGAGGTTGTGTTTCCATTTTGTATGTTTTACTTCATTTTACTCACTTCTGTTGTAACTGCAGTACTGCATTTTTTCATAGTACGCAGTCTGAGTGCCTTTACTAAGCTGAGTGTAAAAATTGGCGCATTCCTTGTACTCACTGTATCGATATTTAGGTATTGTATTTTTTTAGTGTACTCTGAGTGCCATTCCTGCAAGGACCGAATTCAGGTCTGCAGTACGTTATAAATAAAAAAAATGTGGTTTCATTCGCCTCAGCGGCGCTTTCTGAAGGTAAAACATCTAGTCGAATGGCATTTTAGGTGTGAAGCTTCTCAAGGTGTCGGTCGTGCGTCCCTGGTGTCTGTAGTAGTAGCAGCAGGTAGCCGCATATTGTTTAGTCTTTGAAATGTTCGCTGGATGACGGTACTAGTATATGATGAACATGTGATGAAAAGATGTGAGATGATGGTACTCGAAGTGCTCACTAGATTGATGGAAGCATGGAAAAACAGAAGCAAGAACGAACAAATGAACGGAAGCACGGACGGGCTGATGAACGCTTCGCTCCACTCATCATCATTAACTCAGTGGATATGCTGTGAAGTTTTGCTTGCTTCTTCCTTTTTTAGACTGGGCGCTTGAGACGAGTCACGTTTGCTTTTTGTTTTTGCGGCGGCAGTACACTCTAAGCCGAAATTCGGCAAAGTTAGACTAACTGCAGTCGTTAAACTAACGGACGAACGGTTCATCCAACAGGGACTAAATGCGTGACAGTGCGAGTTTTTCGCAAACGCCTGGCAATGAAG